TTATCGTTTCCTGTAGTATAATTTTTATCTCTTTTTAAGTATCTTATTTATAATTTTCCACCTGATCAACATCCTGTAATACCATGTACAATAGCATTTTTTAAATTTTAGCGGAACAAGTAGGCATTCGTCAGACAATCATTTTCATTACATATACCGTTCGAGAACAATGGCTCCGAATCTAAATAAAAAAAAGGTGGAATTCCGAATACTCCACCTCTCTCGAGGGGAATGGTTTCTGGTTTCATAATGATAATGATAATAGTAATAATAAGAATTCGCGGTGTGTTGTACAGAACGAAGTGAACGGGTGGAGTCATACAGGAAAACCTTGAACGCCGCCGATATAGGAATGCAAGACCAGAGAAACTCCTACTGAACTAGTTGTTTACTTTTTTCCACTTTTGAATCATTTGCGCAATCGGCAACTGTTTGCGGAATTTCAGGATTTGACCCGAACGTGCAAAAATAATTAATACAATTTAGGCAAATAGAATCTTAATATATTTGATGTGTCCAACACGATTCTATGAACCTTTTTAAAAGTTTTTTTATTCTAATCTTTAATTTTTCGAAATTTATTATTTCAAATATGAAAAATTTTTCGATAGTTAAATTTTCGAATACTAGTATCTCGATACAATTTTTTGAAAAATTCACTTTTTGAAAAAAACCTTTTTTTTGTCATAATTTTTTCAAAATGAAATTTTTTAAAAACTAGTTTCTAAAAGCTAATGTTTTAAATTTTTTTAAAGACTGGTCTAATTGGCAAGTACCGAATTTTTGCAACATCTAAACCGCAAAATTATGCTAAAGTACTTTGTAATAATATTTACTATAGCTATTTATCAAACAGTCCCTCATCTGACTGCAAAAAGTGGCACGATATATTTTTTGCTTGATATTTGTAGTTGGGAGCAGCGGAGGAAAGAGTGAACAAAATGTACTGTGTTCGGGTCGTGGGAGCGGTCATGTGACTTGAGAAATTTAAAGTACAGTTGCTTATCGTTGGATTTTTATTTTTTGTTGGCAATGAAATATATGCCTCTAGACGTCAATAACAATAAAACTATCCCTTTGCAAGCATTTTCTGTCGCCCGGATTTGCTACGTTTGGTGTAGGGATTTCGACCTCACTTTTACCCTATTCGGCCTTTTAGCCACCCCGGATTTTCAAAAAAAAAAAAAAATGTCAAAATTGTCGGTGAATATTTACGGAAACAAAGCATAACAAAGGCTGAGTGGGGTAGAACTACTGAATTAAAAAAAGCTTGCGAGGGTGTAAGGGCAATACTCTTATCTGAGAGTCATGCAAACATTTTGAGAGAAATTAAAATTCTTTTCGACTTCTACACCTATTTCAAAAAACAGATTAGTTTTCTCCAGGTTGCAAGTTTTTTGAACATCAACCTTTTCGAATTATTATTTTAGATTAAAAAAAAACACATTTAAGCTATATCTCGAATTTCATTAAAAAAAGATAAATATTGGGTCACGAGACCAAAATCCCTACACCGAACGTAGCAAAACCGGACGACAGAAAATGCTTGCAAAGAGCTATTTTTATTGTTATTGACATCTAAGCATATATTTCATTGCTAGCAAAAAAAAGGAAAATTCCATCGAGAAGCAACTTTACTTTGAATTATACGTTCACATGACCGCTCTCACCACTGGGACATAGTACAGGTTGTTCACTCTTTCTCCTGTATCAAACTACAAATACCAAACAAAAAGACGACGTGCCACTTTTTGTAGTCAGGTGTGGGATTATAGGTAAATATGTGTACAAGGTGTTTGGAAGATCAATGCAATATCTTGGAAAGGTGATAGGGGAGGTTATTTGCACCTAATTAAGCCAAACATACCTTAGTTCAAAGTCTTATGGTTTTCGAGTTTTTCTCCTTTTTGTAGTCCGTTTGGTTTTCTGTTCTTTATATTTTCAGAAAAGACACACGTTCTGCTATTAAAAAAAAAAAATATTGCCATGGTGTCATCTTTTATTTTACATATAAGAGGAGACAAATGTAAAAAGTGCATTTTTTTAAAGAAATCCAAAATGTTCGAAAAACTCGAAAACCGTAAAACTTTGTACTAAGATATGTTTGGCTTAATTAAGTCTAAATGACCTCCCCTATCACCTCCCCAAGACTGTGCATCGACCTTCCAAACACCCTGTATGTTTCCTAAAGTTATTAGGAAGGTTCAGGTTTCTAAGAGATAAGGGTAAAGAATTAAAAATTTTGAAGCCGTTTATAAAAACTGATAAAGGGGAGGGACAAAATAACATTATTAACTCATACAATTTTTTTGTAAATAAATTTTTTTTTCTAATTTTGACATATAAAGTGACATATTTCCTAATGAAAGTAAATTAAAAATAATTCTTATTTACTTTTAAAATCGTAGCGCCTGAACTACCCTTCAATTTTTTTAACTTTCGAAGTTCTGTTATTTTCTCTGTCGAACCATGTCGGCTAATTTAAAATTTTCCTTTTAAAAAATGAATTTTCTACAAATTTTCCTGGCAGGACTGAGGATTAATCCGTTGGTGAGAATTTTCCGATAAATTTTCTGAAAAAACTAAAAAATCGCTTACACTACTCGACATTATTGACAGTCTGGAACCGCATTTTAGAGGAAAATTGGGAAAAAATTTGCGTTTATCACTTTTCAGGGAAAAAATTGACTCAAAAGAGGAGCAAATAACCCTAAGAAGAATGATTCCGGTTCGAAGAGAAAGGGTTTTGATAACCGGATGTGGAAGAACATTTAAAAAACTACGAAACTTTTATTCTATTAAGGAATTTATAAAAATATTTTAATAAACATTCACATACATAAAAAACCATTAAAAAGAATGATTCCGGTTCGACGAGAAAGGGGTTTCATTACCGATTGTTGAAGAAAATTAAAAAAAATCACGAATCTTTTCATTTATTTCAGGACTTTATAAAAAATTTAAAATAAATGCGTTTTAAAAATTTCTCTAGCCTATGGTGTCGAATATTTTGAAATTTTACTACGATTTTCCGCGGAACCAAATTTTGCGACTCATTTTTCGACATTTTATTATAAACTGGAAGCGCGTTTATCAGAAAAAATAGGAGAAAATTTGGTTCGATCACTTTTCCGGGAAAAACTTCACTCAAAATTGAAGATAGAGCAAAAACCCTTAAAAAGAATGTTTCCGGTTCGACGAGACAGGGTTTTCATGACCGACTGTATAGAAGAAAATACAAAAATCGCAAACCTTTTAATTTTTTTCAGGAATTTATAACAAATTTAAAACAAATGCGTTTTTAAAATTTCTCTATCGGATGGTGTCGAATTTTTTGAAATTTTACTACGGTTTTCTGGCGAAATCAAATTTTCCGACGAATGTTCCGGCATTTTTATAAACTGAAAACACACTTTCCAGAAATTTGGGTCGGTCACTTTTCCGGGATAAACTTGGCTCAAACGAGTAGATAGAGCAAAAATAGAGCAAAAAAACCTTAAGAAGAATGATTCCGGTTTGAAGAGAAATCATTTTCATAACTGGGTATGAAAAAAAATTAAAAAACCGCTTATCTGTTAAATCGTTTCAGGAATTTATAAAAAAAAAATAAAAAAATCGGATTATGTCAGATATTTTTAAATTTTACTTAGCTTCCTAATTAATTTTTATTTTAGATCATAAAGATACTGGCCTGAACCGTCAGGCCCTTAAATATGACCCTGTATATTTTTAATTTAGATTAAAAGTCTTTTGGGATCAAAAGATATTGATGTATTTTAATTTACATGTTATCTTGTCCTGTCATTTGTCAGCTCTTATTCCTTTAAAAGTTCTTTTTCACCTTCCTGTTGTAAAAGTAAAATCATTTAGTTATTTTATGAGTCCATAAAGTTTCTCTATTGTTGAAAGTATCACCAATCACCTATTAACTGTCAAAATATTTTAGTTTTTATATTTGCTTCCAAAATGCTATAATGATATTAGTTCCACGTTAATATCTCTTTCATTTAATAAGAGGAATATTTTACCTTATTCTCAAAAAAAAAAAACCAAAAAACTTAAATTAGGATAAACCTTTTAATGATACAGTGTTTGGGCGTATTTATTCAGTCAAAAAGAGTCTCACCAAATTTTTACATTGGCCGAAAATGTATATCTTATATTAAATTTGCTTATATTAAATATCATTTAAAAAATCCAAAAACTAGACAAATAGGAATTAAGAGCTGAAATTCAGCATAGCTTTTTAAGCTTTTCTGTTATTTTAGAAAAAAAATGTATCTAATATGATTTTTTTATGTGATTTGGTTTAAACTTGGAACAAACATACCAGACACTTAAACAAAATTGTTGTCTTCCGGTTTTACTGGAACGGCAATTAAGTTTGATTTTTTAAAGAGATCACCTTGTAAAGTTTTTTTGAATTTACAAGTCAAATTACAGGCGAATAGCCGAAAAATCTAATTGACAAAAAAACAGTTTAGAAAACTTAAGAGATTGAAAAATCAAGAAAAACAACTCACTAAATTCTGATTAAAAAAATTCAATAGAGGGCATGATACACATACTAAAGGTATGCTGACTTTCGATTCAAAATTCGTCCAAAAAATTTTAGCAGATAAAACAGTAGTTTCCTGTCTCAATACAACGGTCCTTTTGAAGTAATGCCGTACATAAGCAGGACACGAACATATATAAGAATAATATAAATGAACAGGAAAATTGGTTTTGAATATTTTCAAAGTAAACTCGACAAAAAAATGTTTAAATTTACCAAACAAAAAGTAATTTTTTTGTGTACTTACTTTTTGTAAATAAATAATTTGTTTCAGCACAAGAAATATTAACGTGGCCCTGGTATCATTGTCACCCGGTATACGGTACTTACCAGATATTCTGAAAAATATTTGTTTCAAAACATTAAAATATTTATTATTTATTTACTGATATCTATTAGTTTTTTGATAAATTTTTTATATTGGCAAGAATTAAGAAATGTCATCTTTTCTGTTTAATATTTTTTATTTATTGTTTTACATTGTTAATATCGATATTGTGCAAATAAATATAATCGTTAACATTTTAAACTAAAAGTTTACCTCCATTACCTCTAATAACTCATCACCTTCATATGTACATGTATAACGTTTTAAAATATAGCATATTTTTAACTATATTGTCATTGTTAAGTCTTATAGTCTTCAAAAAAATACAATATTTTAAAGTCTTGAAAAGACTAGCTGAAAACTCATTTAAAATAAAACTAACAAAAATGGTAATAATAAAAAATTCTAATGTATTGCCAAGACTGCTTTAAAGTGTTTTTATTAAAAAATTGAGACAATAAATATTTTATTAAATCAAACTATTAAATTTAAATTACCTGATAGAACAACATTATAATATCTGTTTTATATATGTTTATCTATTTTGAATTGTAATTCATTATTAGGTAATAATTTACCCAATGAATCACTCTTGAACTCGTAGAGACATTTGACATTTAAAATAATTGTAGCATTATTTCAGAATAACAGTAAACTCTAATTTTGATTCATTTATAACGAGACACATAATATATTTACAATATTATAGATATTTTAAATGTCAAAATCATTATCTCCTCATAATCCAATAAAATTTAAAAACATTTTTACCATTTGCATGTATGCAACAATGCTCGAGGCAATTTATTAATATCTATAAGTGTAAATACCTTTAAATAACACTTTCTTACATGCCTTCTTGAGCTCATTTTTTTGTATCCCTATTTAATATTACAAAATATATAAACCCTAGCTAATCCATCAGTTCTTATCTTTTGTAATTTACGCTATAGGACCCAGTATAAATATCAACATTTTGCGCCGGATGTCCTGCCCACGAAGGACCATTCGGTTGAGCATTATTCCAACCAGGATTACTGTTCCACAAGGGATTATTATTCCACCTAGGAGCGGGAGCAGGGGCTGGAGCAGGATTTGAATTCCAATTAATATCGTTCTGGAAACCAAAGTTGGACTGAGGTCTGTAAGCAGGTTGAGGTCTGTACGCTGGCTGAGGCCTGTAAGCTGGTTCAGGCCTGTAAGCTGGTTCAGGCCTGTATTCAGGTTCAGGATCCTGCGCGTAATAGCTTTGAGGTCTGTAAGCAGGCTGCGGTCTGTAAGTTTGTTGAGGTTTGTAAGATGATCTGGTAATCTGAGGCTCAAAAGGTTCGTATTCTGGTTCTGGCTGCCTATAAGCCGGTTCTGGTCGTCGATAGACAGATTCCGGTCTGTACCTAGGAGCCGGTCGTTGCTGAGGTTGTTGAGGTTGCGCGTAAGGATCGTTTTTGTAGTAATCAGCGGGATCTTCACGATACTGACCGTCATCTTCTTCTTCGGGACCTAGCGGCCTGGCTGCGTCTCTGTTGCTGTTGAGCGTCGGCGGTGCTACGGTGATATCGTTACCTGCAGGTTCGAATCCACGTCTACTAGCACCGTACTCTACCTCTCGCAGGGTTCCAGTATCGTCGACGTACCCGTACTTGCCGTACACTTCACCGTTAGGGTATTTCGTTTCGATCTTAAAAGTTCCATCGGCAGCTTCGTACCCGTAGCTGTAGGAGCCATCTTCGTTGTGTTTGTCGATTTGTTTTAGAATGGGTACCGGGGTGGTGTACTCTTTAGATTTGGCTGCAGTGACTACGGCGCAAAGCGTAGCCGCTAGAATCTGAAATAGAATAAATTTATTTGAAATTATTTGTTTAAAAATTTTGAGAAGTTGTCTAGCGATTGATTCAGTTCAAAGTTATATTGACAACTTTTAGAAATGGATAAGATTCTAGTCTTGCCTACTGGTGATGCCTAAAGATCTGACATTTTAATTTTTCTGGACTACAGTAAAGCCTTTGATGTGATTGACCTTGATATTTTATTTGCAATATCAACATACATTGGCTTGAGTAAAGACATAACCCAGCAGGTTTTATAAAAGGGTAAATTGTCTATTAAGAGAGGAGTAGCTCATATGTTAATTCTTGGCCCCTTTTAACTCAATATATATAGAAGTTATATTCTGTCAATTTTGCAAGATTTAATACTTCAGACGTATGTAAAAGATACTTAGGTGTATTACCTTTTCAATTAACGTTGTTGATATTAACGATATTGACGATATTGACGATATTAACGATATTAACGATATTAACGATATTAACGATATTAACGATATTAACGATATTAACGATATTAACGATATTAACGATATTAACGATATTAACGATATTAACGATATTAACGATATTAACGATAATAACGATATTAACGATATTAACGATATTAACGATATTAACGATATTAACGATATTAACGATATTAACGATATTAACGATATTAACGATATTAACGATATTAACGATATTAACGATATTAACGATATTAACGATATTAACGATATTAACGATATTAACGATATTAACGATATTAACGATATTAACGATATTAACGATATTAACGATATTAACGATATTAACGATATTAACGATATTAACGATATTAACGATATTAACGATATTAACGATATTAACGATATTAACGATATTAACGATATTAACGATATTAACGATATTAACGATATTAACGATATTAACGATATTAACGATATTAACGATATTAACGATATTAACGATATTAACGATATTAACGATATTAACGATATTAACGATATTAACGATATTAACGATATTAACGATATTAACGATATTAACGATATTAACGATATTAACGATATTAACGATATTAACGATATTAACGATATTAACGATATTAACGATATTAACGATATTAACGATATTAACGATATTAACGATATTAACGATATTAACGATATTAACGATATTAACGATATTAACGATATTAACGATATTAACGATATTAACGATATTAACGATATTAACGATATTAACGATATTAACGATATTAACGATATTAACGATATTAACGATATTAACGATATTAACGATATTAACGATATTAACGATATTAACGATATTAACGATAATACCGATATTAACGATATTAACGATATTAAAAAAAGTGCAATTTTAAACACTCATTTTATAGATTTATTTTTTTTATTTAAGCTTTATAGGTTACTGGAGCTATACTTTTGACTAGGGTTTTAGTTCTTTGTGCAGTCCTTGTCATCCATCATCCATTGTATTCTGATATGTTCCTCGGACGATTAATCCAACCTGTTTCATGCGCGAGCATTAATCACCGTCCAATAAATGTTTTGTAATTTTAAAATTATTGTATTGCCTGTGTTTTTGAAAAATCAATAAATGACATAGGTAAGTACTATCGTCTTAATAGTGGTATCTATATTTAATGTGAAATAATAGTGAATTATACACCAAAGGATTGAACTGGTAGTTTTTCTACGAGGCGAAAGAAACATTGGTAGAGAAAATGTTTAATCCCTAGGGAGAAAAAGGGTCACTTTAGTCACTGAAAATATTAATGCAATCAATGGGTCAATTATTTGATATTCTGGCTGTAAATAATTTTTTTCCTGTTTTTCAATTTTTTTAAAAGAATTAAAAAAAGATTTCATTGTTTTGAATTTTTCAATTTAGAAATAAAATATAAAAACTAACGAGCAGTGAAAAATAATAACACAAATTTTTATGGTAAGGGTATTTTGTGCAAGAGTAAAATGTAGAGTTCAAAAAAGCTATAGGTAGATTTATAGTAGACATGCATGATACATATTTTTGTAAAACGTAAAAATATTTTTTTTGTTGTAAACGTGAAATTTCTCAACTGAATCCAATTTTCTCTGAGATAATAATTTCCCACCCAAAAACAAGCCTTTTGGTAAAAAGTTTGAATTTTTGTGATTTACGAGTAGCCAAAGTTCACCAAAATAGTATTCAGCGCATATTATTTTGTATTAGCCATAGCCGTCCTTTCACAGTGAACATGTGGCAACTACGATATCTCCGCTATCGCTATACACACTCTGGTTTTGTCACCGACATTCGGTTCGGCTAATATCCTACCACCAAATCTTCTTAGTCAACGACTGGCTGTTGCCCTGTTGTCATTTTAATAACTTATATATTAGTCGTATGCCTAACACGAAAAAATAAGTACTGTATTTTGAAAATTTTATTCTTCTGTGAATATATTTGTCATATGTCCTATAAATGCTTAAATAGAACATCACTCTATTACTTTTCCGAAAATCTTGGAAACAGTAAACTAGTCTGGTATTCAGATGGAACCACAACTGGAATCTTTGAAACCAAGTCAAAGACAACAATTTTGCTGACTTTAGGAGAATAGGCAACAGACTTTCAGGCAAAACTAATATCAGATAAAACTATTGCCATAGACTGTGATAGCTCTAAATACAATATTCTCTCAGCCGAAATCAAATCATGACTGGCGAAGGACTGTCTAGAAAACCTGACAGAGTTGAGCAATCAAAATAAATTGATCTTAGCTTGGGTTTTAGGCTATAAAGTACACCAGGGCCTGATAAATTAGCCAGGATTGAGACAAGCCAATGAGCTCCTTAAGGAATTAGGGAACTTAAGGACTTACTGTCACTTAAGAGGACACATGAGTGTCATCAACATAACAGAGGAAGCAACACTAAGGAAGAAGATAAAGGAAGCATTAATATAAATCTTGTGTCAAAGCTAGTAAGTCCAGGTAATAAGACCAAGCTAGACGATACACTCTTAATAACTATTCAAACAAATCATACTATATAGGATGTCCTGATAATGCTTGACACATAGAAAAATTAAAATTAAAATGTTTGAATAATAGGCGGAAATTGTTTTCTTGTTTGTAGTTTATCAAAACGACTTTTGCGTGCTACGATCACTGAATATAAAGCCGTTTTACACCCACATAATAATGAAAAAATTTTTTTTTTAAAAATCAATTTTAAAAATGAAATTTTTTGTATATAACTTTAATATAATATGTGATCAAATACAAGGATAATTGTTATAAATTTATAAACTTAAATATTATGAGGAGGTGTAAATCTGGCTTTGATAATAAAATGTTGGACTAAAACATGACTGTCAGATATTTTCGCTGAAAATGTACTGAGTAAAATTGAATTAGTCTTATTTAATTTTAGTTAGATATAAGTAATTTATAACTAATATACTGAGGTTCTTAAGGATGTCATTAAATTACATTTGAATTTCCATGTGCTGCTCCTAATTGCAGAAACAAATATTTTTTACAGAAACTTAAATCTTTTTTTTTAATTTTTCGTCCATTATGACTCTTTGAGAGAAATGGTTTGATATTTTAAATATTCTCTTCACATCTAAAAGAAAACTATTCTGCGAGGATCATTGTGAGGAGAATTCCATCACGTGTAGTTTGCGTATCATAGTTTTACACATTTAAAGGAATATGATGAAAAAAGATGTTTGATTTATTTTATATACAAAGTGGCCCAAAAGTCTGGAAACGGCTAATTATCTCGTAAATTGCTAGTCCCAATTGTACAAAATTTGGGGTACACCTATTTTGGGATACGGTGATTCCAGATTTGATATTTGCAATGTTGCCAGATTTGCCGTTTCTCTTAAATTATTAGTCACTTTAGTTTTTTAAATTCATCATCCTATATATTCAGTCATTATTGGAATCTCCTATTCAATGCGAGTTCAACCATATGTAAAACTTATGATTTTATGTAATCTGGAAGGTCTAAAATAAATAAAATAAGTCTGGCAACAATTGAAAGATTATAACATTTTTAACATTTTCTCCATGGTTGTTTTATTTATTTAAGACCTTCCAGACTAAATAAAATCATAAGTGTTACATATGGTTGAACTCGTATTAAATAGGAGATTCCAATAATGACTGAATGTACAGGGTGATGAATTTGAAAAATCAAAATGACTAATAATATAAGAGAAACGGCAAAACTGGCAACATAAGAAAATATAAGGATATTTCTAAGAATTTAAAAAATAATATATCTGTTAATTTTTAATTTGAAGATACACACTGCTCCTTTATGTTTTGTTTTTGTTTTAGATATTCCTGGGTATGAATATGGAGACTTTTGGAATGGGTATTGGAACTACGATGCATTGAAATAGTTGGATATATGGGTAAAAGGATAATAGAGTGGTGCAGTGCCAGAGTTGCCTAACCAACGAAATTTCAAAACAAATAGTATATTATTTCAGAATCATTTCTAAACATGCTAAAGTTGCCTATTCCTTAAAATTGTGCACATCATGACAAAACTATATAAACACTTATTTGACAAGTGACTATTTTTAACTTTTCTCAAACTTTGATCTCCATTTACTCACTTTACAGTTCATCAAATTTCTAGAGGCTTTCGACGGCTAGACAGAGAAAGCACTACTGACAGGCATCCCGACGGATTTACGCAATGAAAGTACACTCTGCGCATCAAGTATTTCACTATTTCATTCAGACGTAAATGTCAGATGTAAATTTCGCTAAAACATTTCTTTTATTTTCGTTTGTGTTTTTTGCTCATTACAGTTTAATAGAACCTAAGTATGGAGTTTAATAGCAAATTAAGAGGCCGCGTGATTAACAGTCAATCTCGCGAAATAATAGCCAATGTTATAGAGTTTATGAGAAGAGAAGGAAACTTTAATTCACCTTCAATACCATTTAAAAATGTAAATGATCGTGTTGCTGCAG